CTTTCTTTCTTTCTTTCTTTCTTTCTTTCTTTCTTTCTTTCTTTCTTCCTTTCTTCCTTTCTTTCTTCTGGTCTGTTCTTACTGTACCCTGTGACTCTTATTAAGTGTTGCACCTGATGATTCTTGACTCTTGACAGATGTATCTTTTCTTTTATGTACACTGAGAGCATTTGCACCAAAGACGAATTTCTTGTGTGTCCAATCCCACTTGGCCAATAAAGAATTCTGTTCTGTTCTGTTCTGTTCTTTTGTACCCTATGACTATTATTAAGTGTTGTACCTGATGATTTTTGACGGATGTCTCTTTTCTTTTATGCATACTGAGAGCATTTGCACCAAGACAAATTCCTTGTGTGTCCAATCACACTTGGCCAATAAAAGAATTGCATTCTATGGGAGCATCCACAACTTCCAGAGGCAAGCCATTCCACTGGTTAATTGTTCTCACTGTTAAGGAAATTTCTCCTTAGTTCTAGATTGGATCTCTCTTTAAAAAAAACCTTCCACCTATTCTTTCTTGTCCTGCCTTCTAGTGCTTCTTCTTGGGGCAGCCCCTCAAATATTGGAACGCAGCTACGAGGTCTATCCCTAATCCTTCTCTTCCTTTGACATACTCATTTCTCACAACCATTCTTCATATGTTTCAGCTTCCAGTCGCCTAACCATCTAACCATTTTCTCTGCAGACTTTCTAGGGTCTCAGGATCCCCAAAAGGATCTTGACAGACTTGAACAATGCCATTTTATCCTATGCAATAAAATGAAACTGAACGGTGGGGGGGTGGGGGGGAAGCAAGGTTTTACACCTGGACAGGAAAAATCAAAGGGACAAGTACAGAGTAGGCGAAACCTAGATCAAAAACAGTAACGGTGAGAGGGAATTTGGAGTCTTCGTGGACAATCACTAAGCCAGCAGGGTGTAGCAGCAGCCAAAAAAGCCAATGCGATCCTTGGTTGCATAAACAGACCCATAGAATCAAAATCACGTGAAGTATTAGTACCACTTCATAAATCCTTAGCAAGGTCCCACCTGGAATCCTGCATCCAGGTTTGGCCATCCCGTTACAAAAAAAGATGTTGAGACTTTGGGAAAAGTGCAGAGAAGAGCAACTTAAGATGATTAAAGGCCTGGAAATGAAAGCATATGAAGAACGGCTGCTGGAATTGGGTTTGGCCAGTCTAGACAAAAGGAAGGACCTAGGGGTGATATAATAGCAGTCTTCCAGGATTTGGGGGGCTGTTGCAGAGAGAAGGGAGTCCACTTATTTTCCAAAGCACCAGAAGGCCCAGAAGCAACGAAGGATGGAAACTAAGAAATAAGGAGGAATTTCCTGACAGGGAGGACCATTAACCCCCGTGGGATAGCAGAAATCATGGCCGCTCCATCGCTGGAGGTTTTTAAGAAGAGACCGGACAGTCACTTGTCTGAGGGGGTATATAGGGTATCCTGCTTGAGCAGGGGGTTGGGCTAGAAGACCTCCAAGGTCCCTTCCAGCCCTATTCTGATTACTTGATTGATGGATGGATGGATTTGTGAGTCTCTCACCTGCATGGCAAAGGCGTTCAGAGCAATGGAGATGGGGCCGTTCTTGGCCAGCCAAGCTGCAATCTCTGTCCAGGGAGAGAGGAGCACAGGTAAGAGGGAGGGGCCCCTGCCTGAGGCCCCCCCCCTCCCCCCCCCCAAAAAAAAACAGATAATCTCTCATGCCTCATTCATTTCAAGTGAAAACTCCTTACAAGGGTGAACATACACGAGCACTGCAAGGTTTACTACATCATCCTACACAGAGAGTTCTCGACTTATAATCAAAATTGTGAACGGAATTGCAATCATAAGTTATTGTAATCATAAATTAAGGCTTCCCTTCCCTTTCTTTCTTTTAGTCTCTCTTGCTCTTTCTTTCCCAATCCTTCCTTCCTTCCTTCCTTCCTTCCTTCCTTCCTTCCTTCCTTCCTTCCTTCCTTCCTTTCTTTCTTTCTCCTCTTCCTTCCTCCTTCCCTCCCTCTCTTTTTTTCTTTCTTTCTTCCTGCTTAGGCAGGGGGTTGTACTAGATGACCTACAAGGTCCCTTCCAAGTCAGATTATCTATTTCCTTTTCTTTCTTTTTCTTTCTTTTTTTCTTTTTTTTCTTTCTTTCTTTCTTTCTCTTTCTTTCTTTCCTTCCTTCCTTCCTTCCTTCCTTCCTTCCTCTTTCTTTCTTTCTTTCTTTCTTTCTTTCTTTCTTTCTTTCTTTCTTTCTTTCTTTCTTTTTCTTTCTTTCTTTCTTTCCTTCTTTCCTTCCTTCCTTCCTTCCTTCCTTCCTTCCTTTCTTCCATTCTTCCTTCCTTCCTTTCTCTCTCTCTCTCTCTCTCTTTCTTTCTTTCCCCTTCCTTCCTTCCTTCCTTCCTTCCTTCCTTCCTTCCTTCCTTCCTTCCCTCCGTCTTTTCATTCTTGTTCTGTTTATTTACCATTTTTCCTTCTCTTTACTCTCTTTTTGTAATAAAATGTGTACGTTTTTTTTTCACTTTGTAGAACCACTCCTTTCCCCAAAGCTAACCAAGCGAGAGGCCAGCAACGCACCGTTCTCGTCCGTGGAGATGGCCACGCTGCTGTTGATGTACACGGCCACTTTCTCCTTGGAGAAGCCGCATTTCTGTTCGAAACCTTGATAGCTGTAATCCCGCTCGGTCTCCAGGCCCCCTGGAGAAATGCAAGGCAGAAACCCTGTCAAGGAAGGTTCCAGAAGGAGCTTGGGAAAATCAGAGTGGGAAAACAGAGACCCCAGTTGGCAAGCAAGGAAACTTTTAGAGCCGCGTTGAAAACACAGGGGAATTTCTTTCGTTATCATTAGGAAAACTACGTCCTAACAACATTTGAACCTCCTCAGGTCTTATTCTATGGAGCTTCTCAGTCCTCCAGGTCCTGGTTGTCCCAGATGTGCTTTTTTCAAGAGGCAACCGGACTTTCTGATTTTTCTTTGAAGACGTTTCGCTTCTCAGGGCTGGATGTGGGAAATAGAAGGATTTATACAGGCAAACCTCCAAGCTGCCTCAATGACCTTCTAAAAGGATGCAAATGACCAGATGCCTGCAAGAACTATAAATCCTTCCATTCCCCACCATCCAGTCAGAGCTGAAGAAGCTTCTTGGATGAGAAGTGAAACGTCTTCGAAAGAAAAAGAAAAAAGCCCCTTTGGAACAACCTCAGCTCTTGTCATGCAATTCTTAAGTCTCAGGAGAAAAAAAGAAAGTCCAATCCACTCGAATACAGATAATCCTCGACTTACATTTAGTTGACAGTTCAAAGTTACAATGGCACTGGGCAAAAAGTGACTTACAATAATTTTTTCACCCTTATGACCATTGTAGCATCCCCCAGGGTCACATAATCAAAGCTCAGCTGCTTGGCAACTGGTGCATCCTTGTGACAGTTGCGGTGTGTCCCAAGGTACACAATCCCCTTTTGTAACCTTCTGACAAGCAAAATCCAAGGGGAAGTTGGATTCCCTTCATAACTCTGTGACTAACTCATCAACTGCAGAGATTCACTTAACAACGGTCTCACTTAGTGTTCTGACCCATACACATTGTTCCAAGGAAGCCAACACGAAACAGAGATAACAGCAAAACTCTTTAATGATTCCTTACGAATTCCGTTCCTTCCCGGTTAAAAGGCTGTTTCAAACTCATTGTCTCTAATAAGGAAGAGCCTTGCCAAGGTGGTGCAAAGCTGCCAAGAACACTAGATAAAGTTACTCAGAAATATTTCAAACACAAAGAGTCTCCAAACACCAACCAAGATATTCCGAACGTCCAGGCTTGAGTGCAAAAACTTCTTTGCTTCCTGCAAAGAACTCCGGTTTCTCAGCTGGCTTTTATCTCTTAAGGGAGGGGCCATCACCTTGCAGCCTTACTCCTGAGTCACCCGTGCTGCTGCAGCTGCTCTTTTCTTCGGGCAGCCCTGTGCGCACACACGCTGGGCACAGGCTCCTCGGAGTGCTCTTCATCACTGCTGCCAGCCTCCACAATCTCCGGAGGCCGCACCCCACTCCCGGATGGTCCTGCCCCATCCCTGCATCACACGCAGGACCCTCACCTGAGTTCTCACTCTGAGGCCTCAGCCGTCCACATCTGCTGCTGGCGAACCACCACAGAAAGATCATAAAATGGGGTAATGCTCCTCTAACTTGTCTCACTTAACAACAAGAATTTTGGGCTCAACTGCGGTTGTAAAACAAGGGCTACCTGTACTCATCCTTTCCCCCCTTTTAATTCTGACCCACCAGCTTTTAACCCCACATGATACCCCCAAAAAAAGACAAAAGAGATTTTTGCTCGAAAAAAAAAACTATGCCGCAGAAGCTTCAGGAGCTGATGGCCTCAAAATCGCCGGTCCGGGACTGCTCGCTCAGCAAAACACCAAAGGAACAATTTGTTTCACTGAGTTGCTCTCAGTTGCCCAGAAAGCCAGCACTTGTTTTCTGCTGAAAAAGTCCAGAGTTCACACTTCCGGTTTGAAGGGCTTCGGCGACAGACAGGAATCCGCGATCGTGCGCGGTTTCGGTCTGGGCTCGCCGCTGGAGCGCCCCGAGCCGGCTGGTTTCGGGGCTAAGCCACCCCGTAGAGGGGGCGAAGAGGGGGCAGACCGCCATCAGGGTCGAGGAGAGCCGCATCTCTCCTCCTCAGCTGGCCATTAAAAAGTCCAGAGTTCAGGCTGAAGCAAAGACCAATTTAGCCTCTTCCTCCTCCTCCTCCTCAAATCCTCCTCCTTTCCAGAACTGATGATATTACATAGTGAAATGTCTGCAAGAAAGCAGCCAAGTTCCAAGAGCACCAAGGACCCAACAGCCCTCCTCCTCTCCTCCTCCTCCTCCTCCTCCTCAAATCCCACTCCCTTCCAGCCCTGATGATACCCAGTTGGGCAGTGAAACATCTGCAAGAAATTCAACCCAGCTCAGAGAGCACCACGGACTTACCCAGCTTCTCAATAGCCTGGTAGGCGTTAGAAGGCAGGCCGCCTCCGCAGGCCTCATCTATACGGTCACAGTCCACCAACTCTGTAGGGGGAGAAGGTCGGATGAAGGCCAACTGGATGCTGGAGATGGGTGCAGGCACACGGACTTCTGGATCTCAGCAACTTTAAGATGGGTGGATTGAGGTGGCTCAGCTGGCTGGGGAATTCTGGGAATTGAAGTCCACCCATCTTAAAAGTTCCTAAGGCTCAGAAAACACGGTGCTGGCGAGACAGCTACATCCAACGTGGTCTTTCCCATCGGGCTGGATTTAGATCTTGGGGGCTCTAGCTATGGGGAGCTAGCATGTGCTTGAAGAGCGTAAGGTTGTAGAACGTCTGAACGTGCCAAGAAGGCCACCAAATGGCACAGCAACCCATAACGGTGGAGAAGGGCCTTATTTACCTCAGTTTATTTTATTTAATGATTATCAGCGGGGATGAGGGCCAAGATGGTGCAATGGCGAATGAATCAGACCCCTAGTCTAGGCATTTCCTAGGGGACTCTGTCTCCATCAGACTCCAAGGCGGTCTAAATACTATTTATTAAATATTAGATATTAAGAGAAGGACCAGGGGAGACATGATAGCAGTCTTGTGATATTTGAGGGGCTCCCACAGAAAGGAAGAAGGGGTCAGGGCTATTTTCCAAAGCCCCCGAAGGCCAGACAAGGAATAATGGATGGAAACTGAACAAGGAGAGATTCAACCTGGAAATAAGGAGGAATTTCCTGACAGGGAGAACCATCAATCCATGGAACAGACGTTGCCTTCGGAAGTTGTGGGAGCTTCATCCCTGGAGGCTTTCAAGAGGAGACTAGATTGCCCTCTGTCAGAAATGGTGTAGGGTCTCCTGCTTGGGCGGCGGGGTACACTAGATGACCCACAAGGTCCCTTCCAATTCTGTTTATCTGTTGGTGGGGAAGGGGCTCGCCTCAGAGCACGGTGGAAACTCAAATTCCGGGCCTCCTTAGATACAGGAGACATCTGGGTGATCTCAATGCTCCTCTGAAGACAATTGAACCCCATTTGTTGCCTCTGGCCCTGGGATCTCCTTTAGGTCCTCCACGTCAGACCAACACTAACAGCAGCGACATCAGTCAGCACCAATGGCGTGACCCCAAAGAGTGGCCGAGTCTTCACAAAATCTCTTGACCAATGGTTGCTCAGGACACAGGGCTTCCTTCATCCTGGCTTTGGGTGAACATATTATCCTGTACCAAAGACGGTACAGGACAATAATAAAAACAAGGACAAAAAGGCTGAAAAACAGCTTCTATCCTAGGGTAGTCGCTCTGATGAATTCTACTGTTGAGTGCAATATGAATGCAATATCAGGGCTTTTTAGTTCAATGTATACAATGTGAAGGATGTGTGTTTATGCTTTATTTTCATAGTTATAATAATGTACACTGAAGATGGCATTTAATTTTGTTGTGCAAGGACAATAAACTAAAGTAAACTAAACCGGTCAAGGTGAGAAGCCTCCACAAAACATGGTGTGGGGGTGTGTGGATCCATGTTTTCCAACAGGGCAACCCCCCCCCCCCCCCCCGCCAGATTGTGCCCCCCAACCCTTCAGTTACCTTGCTCAGAGAGGGAAATCAAGGTACCCTTGTGAAGGTACCACTGTCCTTCTACGTTTCCCGTTACGGAGAAGGCCCAGCAGGAGCCGCACTCGCCCTGCAGAGGGGAGGAGAGACAACGCAAACAGCATCAGAAAAATTCCATCCAAGCTTTAGGACAGTGCTTCTCAGCCTTGGCCACTGGAAGGTGGAGGACTTCAGCTCCCAGAATTCCCCAGGATTCAACAATGCATTTTCCAGCCCAATCCCCGGGCTTCCAGTATTAGAAAGTTCTCTTTGTTATGGGGACCATCTGAGTTCTTCTGCACAACTTTTGATTTGAACCTTGAAAGGTTTCCAGAATCTCACAAACTCTCATGGAACTGCGGAGGTTTTATTTCTCCAAAGTAACCCATTAGTAGACAACCTCCCCGCCCTCCCGCTCTAACTACAAGTTGAAATGATGAGGCATGTAGCTGCCCATGTTTCAATCTCAAGCTTGGCCACTGGAGGACAGGTGGGACTTCAACTCCCAGAATTCCCCGGCCGGCAAAGCTAGGGAAGTTAGAAGTCAAACCCATCTTGAAATTGCAAAGTTTCATAAACGCCGTCCTGAGCTAGAGACTGTTAGGAATATAAGTCACCTAACAGGTATTTGGGTTAGAAATATATAAACCAGGATAAACATTTTAGTACTATATCTTTAAGGGAATGCAAGAGCGTGCAATTGGGTGTGGTTACTCAAACAGCCATAAGATGGAGCCAGAAACCTGGGTTGTTTAGTCTTAGTCTCAGAAGAGAGTGTGTCTGAGTGAGTATCTGTTTCCTTCTGTTGGAAAGTATTGCCGTTGCTCCATTTCTTCTAATTGACTGACATTACTGGATTTAATGTAAGTCTGTTACTGAACTGTTTTTGACATTGGACTTTGATATTTGGATTATCCCTGGATTGAAAAACTGACTGATTTATCTGTGAATGACTTTTGGACTGCCTATTTTGGACTTTGCTTAAACTTTCTGGAAGTAAAACCCTACACTTATTGTACAGTGTATCTGTGTACTGTGTGTGCATTATTCAAACACTTCTCTCAAATATGTCTCCCTGTATGCGTTCATCCTCCTAACGGGGAATTACCTCAACAGAGACATCAAGCTTAATTCAAGGAGGACCAAGCTGTGCTGGGGATTCTGGGAGTTGAAGTCCACAGGTCTGAGGGAAGTTGCCAGGTTGGACACCGCTGCCCTCGATCACTGGATGTGGCCCCATTGACCAAAGAGTTGGGCATTGCCACCTAGGCAGAACGACCACAGCCCCACCCAGGACCCCATCTCAGAACCCATCCAACTGTTTGTCCAGGCAACGGACAAACCTAGAAGACTCACCTGGTTTTTGACCCCGGTGACAGCCCCGTGGTCCCGCCAGTCCCATTCCTCGGGGAATGAACCGTTTGGGATGGAGGCCACTTTCATTGGCCGGCCAGGGAGCTTCGCCAGGAGTGGATTCAGGTACGCAGTGCGGAACTCCTCCTCTGGAAGGAGACGAAGCAGACCATGAGTGGCCAATCCTGCCCCAAAGGCGTCATTCTCCATTTGCACAGAAGATGGAATCATAGGGTAGGAAGGGACCTTGGAGGTCTTCTAGTCCAACCCCCTGCTCAAGCAACACAGACCCTATGCCAGAGGTGGCTAGCCTTTTGGGGCTCCTGTGCCAAAAATTGCGCTCATGCACTCGCATGCCAGCACCCAGAAGGCAATACACACGCCCCCCCCCACGCCCCCTGTGCATGCAAGCGCGATCCCACCCCCCTTTACCTGCACTGCGCCTCACAGCTGATTTTCGGTTGGTCTGAGGTTCTTTTCGGCCTCCCAGAGACTTGAAAAAAGCCTCTGCAGGCTTTGCAGGCCAAATAATAGGCCCGTTTCATCACTTCCAAGTGCAAAATATTCATCCACTTTTCAAACAACTTTTGCGGAACCAAACTTCTCACTTACCTGTCAGGTCGCTAAATTTGGTGACGCCGTATTCTGCAGTGCCCTGATCCATTTCCTGATAGAGGCGGGCCCTCTCCAGGTTCTCCGCGAAAATCCGGAAGCGCTTTTGGGTCTCTGAAACAAGGCAGCCCATGGAAACAGCCCCCAATAAGAATTAGGACTAGCCCAGGGGTCTCCAACCTTGGCCCCTTTAAGACTTGTGGACTTCAACTCCCAGAATTCCTCAGCCAGGTTGGAGACCCCTGGATTAGACAGCCTTTGTCCCTCTGGGGTCATCCTCAACTTATAACCAAAATGGGGTCAGAATTTTGAATTACTCCATAATTAAAGACATTGGGCCTGTCAGTGCCCAATTTTACCTTTTCCTCCCATGGTTATCAAGACAATCACTGAAGTTATTAAATGAATCACACGGCCATTAAGTGAATCCAGCTTCCCCTTTACGGCCACTGTTTATTGGAAGGCGGCTATTGTAAATACATGCTGGTTGACAAGTGCTCAAAAGTTTGAATTTATTTGTTTATTTGCCTTGATTATCTTTACAAATAGCTCAAGGTGGCAAACCTATCCAATACGCCTCTTTTCACCACCACAACAACCCTGCGAGGTGGGGTGAGCTGAGAGGGAGGGACAGGCCCAAAGTCACACAGCTGACTTTCATGCCTAAGGCAGAACTAGAACTCACCGTCTCCGGGTGATTGGCTTTCAGGGCTTAGGCAGGATTTGAACTCATGGCCCCCTGATTTCCAGCCTGGTGCTTTAACCACTAGACCAAACTGGCTCTCGGGGTTTGATCAAGCCCAAAAAATCAATCCATCAAATCTATCTATCTATCTATCTATCTATCTACCAATCATCATCTATCATTTTTTTCAATTTCTTTATCTTTCATTTTCTATATTTGTCTTTATCTATCGTCTTTCTTTTTTTCTTTTCCTTTTCTTTCGCTTTATCATCTATATTGCCTATCTTTATATATCCTTCTTTCTATCCTATTTCTTTCTCTTCCATTTTATCTATCATCTATCTATATTCTCTATCTTTTTCTCTTCCTTCCTTCCTTCCTTCCTTCCTCTTTATCATCTACTGGTAGTTATATTCTTCTATCTATTTATCTATCTGTCTGTCTGCATCCATCCATCCATCCATCCATCCATTCATCTATCTATCTGGGTTTTTATGCTGTCCATCTCACTGATGGGATTCTGGGCATTTTACAACGAGGCTGAAGTTCTGTTTTGAAAGTCGTGATATCTGGGTCACACCTGCACTTTCCCCGTGAAATTGTGCCATGGGGGCTGCCCCCTACTTCAATTGGTAACAGGCCCCTCCCCAACGTGCCCCCCTTCCGCAGTCACCTCTTTCGTCCAGGTAGCTCTTCTCGTAGGTGGTCAGAAAGTCCTTGAAGAGGGAGACCAGGCGGGCAGAGGCGTTCTGTGGAAGGAAGAGACCTCCGGGATGAGAACCGGAGACATGGGAGGACAATCCACCGCTGACCGGATCACGGAAACTGGACTTACCCTGGCTGCAGCGGGCCAGTCCTTGTCTGAAATTTTAGAGAACGGAGGCCCCGAAGATGGAGAGCTAGCAGCCATTTTTTGGCCTGGGGGGCCACCCTCAGGTTTCCCACCCTGCGTGAAGGGTGGGCAGAGCCCCTAGCTAAGGATCCTGTGCAGTTTGGAGAACCCCCTAATACAATTCCTGGCTGGCCCGGCCTATCCCGCCCTGCCCCTACCTGGATGCAGGTAAGTGTAGGTCATGCACAGAGGCTCACGGAGGGCAAAAAACGGGCCTCCAGGCAGTTTGGGAAGGCCAGAAATGGGCCTCTCTCCGGCTTCCAGAGAGCCTCAGGAGCCTGGGGAGGAGGCTTGATGAAAGCCTCAGGAGTCTGGGGAGGGCGAACACACACACACCACCACCATCATGGTGCAACTAATGGACCACGCCCACCCAGCAACCGGGCAGAGAACCCGTTGCTAAAATTTTTGAAGCCCTGGTGGAGCTGTGATGTCACCGGAGGGCAGGGGACTTTGGGACCCTCAGGAAGAGGTTGGCAGACAAGTTGGGCCCCTTCCAAGCCCCCGATTTGCCCCAAGACGCCTCCTTATCGGGGAGGAACTGGCCTGAGAAACTGGGAAGGAACCATCAGAAGTTTAAACAGTGGAAATTTGAAAAATCCTCCTTGCCCTCCAAAGCAGCAAAGAATTGCAGCCTTGGCAATTTGGGGTATGTGTGTGTGTGTGTGTGTGTGTGTGTGTGAGAGAGAGAGAGAGAGAGAGGAACCCTGGACCCTGCTCAGCCTCCTTTCTCAATTCCTCAAGAAGAAAGGTCCATTACACCAGATTCCCCGCACCCCCCAATATCTCCTCTGCAAAAGGAAAAATTCAGTAGAAGCGAAGGACAACATATCCCATGAGTCAGGGATGGGAAACAAATATTCTTACTACTGGCTCTATGGGCGTGGCCGTGTCACAGGGTGGGCATGGCTTCTTCTTCTTTTGCCGTAAACCCCACCATGCCCCCTTGTGCCTCCTGGGTGAAGCGGTACAAGACAGGGGGATCCTGGCACAGTTGATTGTCAGAACAGCCGATCGTCAGAACAGCTGATCGTCAGAACAGCTGATCGTCAGAACAGCTGATTGTCAGAACAGTTTGATTGTCAGAACAGCTGATCGTCAGAACAGATGATTGTCAGAACAGTTTGATTGTCAGAACAGCTGATCGTCAGAACAGATGATTGTCAGAACAGATGATCATCAGAACAGTTTGATTGTCAGAACAGCTGATCGTGAGAAACAGCTGATCGCCAGAACAGCTGATCGTTGGGAGGGGGGGGAAATTACCAGTTGGGCAGAACTGGTAGCTTTTTTTTTACTACTGGTTCGGCCGAACGGTAACATTTTTTACTCCCGGTTCATGTGAAGCGGGCCGAACCAGTAAAACACCACCACAGCCACGAGTTCCTTCCAACATCAGTGGACAGTCTCCTCCATGTTTTGGGGAGCCAAAGGGAGAAAGGGAGCCGAGCCCTGTCCTCAGAGGAACCCAGCCTGGCAAGCCATGCTGAGGGCAAGGTGGTCCTCGATTTAGGACCATTTTTTTTACGACAGTTCAAAGTTATAACAGGAAAAAGCGACTTGTGACCCATCTTCAGAAGTTACGACCGTTGAACCTCCCTGGGATTAACACGGTCAAGATTTGGGTGCTGGGCAACTGGCTTGCATTTACAATGGCGGCAGAATCTCGCGATCACCATTTGTGGTTTTTCCAGACAGATTCCGACCATCAAAATCAATGGTGAGGATCTGGCTTCGCTTAATGACCACGCAGCTTATTTAATGACCGCATGATTCATTTAATCATCCTCTCCTTTTAAGGACCCCCATAATCCCTTGCGGGGTGGAGCCTGGGTAACTGAATGGAGCTAGAAGAGTATTTTAATGGCCGGATGCCCTTCCTGTCACCAATGTGGAGTTTTGTTCAGCAGATATATTCTCACGGTGACCAGAGAGAGGCAGCATTCATTTAATGACCCTTTTAAAAAAAATGGTAATAAAATCACGTCTGGTGGTCTCGAGGTGCCTTGTTTAATGACACCCTGCGGTCGTAAGTCGAGGACTACCTGTATCGTCCTGGGGAAAAGCATCGCCTACCTGGAGCGACTCCATCTGCCCCAAAGGCTCCCCAGCTGGGCCCACAAAAGGGCCGGTCAAAGGAAACGTCTCCCACGGACCCAGTGTGGCCGCCTGGATTTCAGCCAGTGGTTCTGCTGAGAAGAACGGAGGGGGAAATGAGAAATATTACAGCAACCGCAACAGGAAACTTTGGCTGTAATTCTCTTTTGCCCCCCACACCCACCCCCCCAAGGTCAAAGTGGGACCCTTCGGCTTCACAGCCATTACAGCAGGGGGTCCAGCCTTGGCCACTCTGGGGAATTCAACTCCCAGAATTCCTCAGCCAGACATGCATGTTGACTTGTGGACTTCAACTCCCAGAGTTCCCTAGGCCTGCATGGTCTTAAAGTGGCCAAGGTTGCGCTAAGCCCAACCTTACCCCCCTCCCCCTTATGGGGGGCCAGCAAGAATGTGCAAGCCCCCCCCCCCAACGTGAATGTGCAGCCGAGCCACAAGAGCAGGTGTGAGGCTTCACCAATTTTTTTAACAAGGGGTTCTCGGTTCCGTTGCTGGGTGGGCGTGGCCATGGTGGGCGTGGCCTAGTCAGCCTCCTGCACTACAGCGGGGGGGGCATTTTTGCCCTCCCCGGACTCCGGAGGCTCTTTGGAAGACGGAAATAGGCCCATTTTGGGCCTTCCCTGAGCCTCCACGCGCGCCCTGCACTTACCTGCACATGGGGACTCCGGGGAGGGGAGGGCCAGCCAGGAGTGGGATTTGGGGGTTTTCTCCGAACTGTGCATAATCTTAGCTAGGGGCTCTCCCGACCCTCTGCGAACCCGCCCCCCAGCAGCCCACCCCTGCGCAAGGGCTTGTTTAGCAAGCCATGGTTTAAAACAAGGCTCTTCCAACTTGGCAACTTTTAAGACTGGTGGACTTCAAGTCCCAGAATTCCTGAGCTAACCTGACTGGAGGAGGAGGAATTCTGGGA